ATAACTGTGTTTCCTAACCATTCTTAAAATGTTAACTAAGCTTTCTTGTATGTGTGGGATTTAAGGTGGGACCTTTTCACCTGGACACTTTCTAACACTTTTTGTTTTACAGACGAGAACCTGAAAAGAAAGACAGGAAATAAGTCAAAATAAATTAAATGTTGCAATATGTATGAAAGAGAAAGTTTCTCCTTAGTATCCTGCTAATGATGTGGAAAGCGCTCTAATTTATCTGGCCGAGGGTCACATCACCCAAGTTGAGAACCACTTCTCCACAACCCTCTCTTCTTTGGACTTTTGGGAACAAAAGTCTTAAAAATCAATTCCCATCTTGGCACCATTTAGAGTGACATACATTCACATTAGCCAAGTTCAGCTCAAAAGGCAAGCATGTCTTTCAAGAATCTACCCTGCTCTTGAAGCATGTCAGTCAAAATAAGTGACTACACATAGACAAAGGTTTCTCTAACATACTTCTCTGATCTGCTAAAAGTCTGGACATTTTGGCAGACCCATCTCTCTCATGCTGCGGGGACAGAGGTCTCTGCTATCTGCATGGAACCTTGTAGGAGTAAAAAACTGACGAGGCAGCTCTTCACCACATAATAAATGGAGCAGGATTCATCTGGCTCTTTTATCCTCTTTCATTTGGCTTTTACTCGACTCTGTTTCTGTTTACGACCCTTCCATCATTCACTTGTCCAAATGTAAGATTTAGAATTAGAAGCGCTGACACAGAAGACACTACATTATACTTATGACAATAATGCAGATGTTTTCAATGACAAGGCATAATGCATAATGAGTCCGGAAGAAAATCAAATATAAATGTGTCTGAATGCACAGGAGACAGTGGAGACTTTTTGTTTCAGAGGGAAAAGGCCAAGAAGGCAACATAAGTGCTGGAAAAAAAAGAGAAGCCAAAGTCAAGTGAGAATTCAAGCAACAAGAGAATGTGGACTGCACAGAAAACTGGCAGCATTTTTGAATGTGTCTGTACGTGCACTTGGTGTATGTGTGCTGCAAAGGGGCCTCCCGTACACTTAGCTGGAGCCACTTAGCTTTTGGATGGCGGCATTTAATTTAGGAGAGGTCGTCTGAAAAGCCTGGTTTGATTGCTTTTCTAAAACAACTTCATCTAAAAGCTTTAAATAACTAAATACCTCAGTGACAACAGCAAAGCAGTTCCAAACTCTTAACTACATCTCTGTGCCTGGGAATACACACAGAGCCACATCTATTAAATGGCATCAGTTGTGTGGTTACGGCATGAGTGGGTGGCTCAGAGAGAGCAGTGCCTTGAAATGAAATTAGGATTAGTGTGAGCAGTCGATTCCGCCAGGATCCTGCTGACTTGGAGCCAGACAGCAAACTTTTTGATCTGTTGCTTCTTCTTCTTTATCTACTTTATCTCCCCTTATTCCTCTGCACTCACAACTTCTTTCAGTCTCTGTTTGTCTGTATCTTCCTCTCCTGTTATGGCTGAGCTGACATTTATAAGGAGGCCACAGCAGGGTTCACAGAAGGTAACAGTCATAAAGTTAGACACACCTCTAAAGGCTGTCTCATTCACGGACACATACAAATGAATTGGCCATGTGACCGCTGTGGCACAATGCCAGTGGGTTGTTTTTTTTTCCACCGGCAAATTAACCAGGAGGAGGTGGAACTACAGCTCAGAAGATACTGGAATTTATTACAGGACTGCCTGATATGAAGTCACAACAGCTCATGCTAATTTCCCCCATAATTCACACGTCCAAATTTCCACTGTTCTGTTTCGCTTATGTTGTGCCGATCATGAAAACATGTTATGCTTTTAAGACAATTCTAGCTTTGTAAGCTTGGAGGATGTTTTGGTGAGTAAGGGAATGACTAATCTCTCCTCGTCGCTACATGTTGTACCAATGATGGTCACTGGCTGTTCATCAGAAGAAACATGAAAGAGCCTTTTGCCAGAGAAACGTTTGGGATTCTAGTTTCAACTTCTTCGTTTTAAGTAAATTTGATAATCGGTGTGCTACAGAACAGCACTGAGCTTGTGCATGAGTTTATCTTCCAAGAAAAGCACAATAACCTACAGTTTCAAGAAAATGGGATCCAGCAACATCTGAGGTAAAATTAAACTTTCTTTGTTTGCTGTAAGATTACATTTTACCACAGAAGACCACATCAGTTGCCAGCTAAGAACAGGATACAATGTCATAAATAAAAAAAGCTGAAACTCCAGTTCAAAGGTGGTGCTGTTTATCATCACCCAGAATATATATATAGTGGAGTTCTGTGCAAACGCACAGCTGTGGATTAATGGCAATATGGGAACCATATAGGTCAAAGGAAATCACTGTCTTGCTTTATCTCTTTAGAAGAGCTGTCACATGTGGGAATTAGGTTTAAACCTGTCGCACATGTGTCGAGTTCTGCAGTAGGAGCAGAGACGCCGGAGAGGGCTAAAGGTCAACTTTATATTGCATTTGAAAAAAATGACTTCACAACTCTGATTAGAAGATGACAGAAAAAGTTGCATTAATGTTATAGAAACTGATACTATATTTGGCACAAAAACATTTGTACAAACTAAAAATCAAATTTTGTCAAATGAACTGAGGCAATAAAATCAGCATCATGACTTTGTTGGACATTGGCTGTACTTCAAATGACTGCTCATTCATATTGTGCATGCATGTTCTCAGTTCTTAACGAGATCAGACAGTTTAAGAGGGAGTAGTTTCAGACTGCATCCCGAAGTGTTACTTAAAGCTAACTAAATGGGTTTCTATGATGTAAGTGTGTAAGTGTGTGTGTGTGTGTCCTACATTAGTTTGAAAACTAATCAAATTTAATGGGTAAATGATTATCTATAAGCAACAAATTAAATGCAAACAGCATATCTGTTGAAATGTCCACCTCTGCCACACCAAGTAAACACCAATGCAACCTTGCCATTGGTACTAACATTTTAAATACAAAAACTTCTATATTCATATTTATTTAAATGTGATTTAACCAGTTACAACTTGACCAAATGCTTTTGTGAGCTATCACCAAGCTTCTGGCATAATTCTGACTGAATACTTGATCTTTGTTGGCATGGACCCAACTTTTACAAGCTATTTTTTTTCCAAAACCATTGTTAATAGGTGTCCTGTCAGTTCATTGTCCTGTTGGAGCAGCCAATTGTGTTTCAGTCAAGCTTTAAGATGTGGATTTTACGGCAGGGGCTTCTTTCGTGGTCGGCTACGGTGATAAAAGACTCATTCTAGTTAGTTTGGTGTTCCAGCAGTTTACAGTTCATGGCAGGTTTAGCCTTGATGGTTCTTGCATTGTTTCTGAGCATCCTAAGAAATTTCCTTTGATCTGAGTGTAACCGATTGGGTCTTTTTATGACCCTGGCAAAGTGGTGATGATCCTTGAATTTCCTTCCTTTGTTTCTTTTAATAAATAGCCATTAAGCTTCTGGAATGGGCTTCCCAAATCCTAGATCTCCCAGCTGAAGATTTTGTAGACTATGCAAAAGCCAGGTCTGCTAGCACACAGACTAATTTTAATTAACTAACAATTTTGTCAAGGTCAGAATATCCCCCAAAAATAATGCCAGAAGTGTACTGATGACTAGCAAAGCATCCGGTCGAGCAGTTCTCTAAGGCAAATTTAACAAAAAGTTAGTAGGCAATATATGCTTGACCCTGTATGTTTACTTTTAAACCTCTGCGGATTTCCAAAAGAAATTCCTGTGCACCCAATCCGTGTTTTTTTTTTTTTTTTTAAATATTTAAAGATGTACGGTGTACAATCATTCTATGTCTTTTGGAAAAATAACTGTTCAAGAAATGATTAAAAGCCCAGTATTACTATGACTTTGATGCCAATGATAATGATAATGAACATATGCAAAGAAAATCTGACTTTACAGAAAGGTCTGAAGCAGATGTGTACTCCACTCCACAACAAAGAAAACAGAAGAACAGCTAAACATAGTAAAGGTTGGTCTTCTTAAGTCATCAAACTTATAAGATGGCCTATTTTTACCCAAATTAACAAATTACTCCGTGACTAAAGAAAGCAAGTTTTTTTTCTTTACATGTAAAAACGTATCAAAACTGACTTTTGCAGGTTTTTATACAGAGCAGAGATCCTGTCTTTGCAAATGTGAAGGCAATCAAACAAACAAACAAACTGTTTTGCCATTTATGAGGATGTATTGCATTTGAAACATAATGGTTGGTGCAAAAGTGTAGTTGAATTCAGCTGGCAAAAGCATTTGGAAAAACTGATCCAGAACAGCTGAAAGATCATTTGATATCCAGTCAGTCACAAACCTTATTCATGAGAGCTGAACAAACAAAACTGCCTTCTCTGTGTTATTTAAACGGTTTTCACTTTAAATAAACATCTCGTTGCATGCACACAAGCAAAACATCAGAACAAAAGCACAGCAGGAGTTATAGGAGTGCAGATTTGCTCAACTTCCACAGGAAAAACTCTCAGTTTTTCCAATAGAACAGAGTTTCCAAATAAACACAATATCTTGAGTATCTGTACAATAGGTCACCACATGCAGAGGAGGGATATTGGAAAAATTGGGCAAAGAATAATGAATGTGGGGTTGCCAGGCTTGAGGAGAAGAGGAAGACTATATACACCAGAGAAGATGTTTGGATGTTGTTAGAGAGGACATTCAGAGGATTGCTGTGAAAGAACAGGATATAAAGGGTAGGGTGAGACGGAGGCAGAAAAATGTGACCTTTTTATGATGCTCTTCTTCTCACGTTATGTCATTCTTTTTATTATATCTTTTATAAGGAGATTATCAAAATATGTAGTGTTAGTGGCTTGAACTGAAGTTAATAGCTTTCAACTGATTTCATAAGAGATAAAGTTGAACCTTTGACTTAAAGATTTCTCTTAGATCACTGTTCAGTGTCTGTTTTGAGGCTCCTAAGAGCTTCTTAAACATCATAAATTGTTGTCAAAGTCATCCACTGACACACACACCTTACCTGCAAGGCAAAGTCCAAATATGGTGAGAAGAACCAGGATGTAGAGGAAAACAATGGCGTACTTGATAGATGAGAGGGAGTTCAGATGGCTGCAACACTGGTCCTGCTTCCTGCGACGCTTTGTAGAAACTGAAAAGAAGGATTTACTATAAATACCAGCAAATGGCATTCTGAACGAAATCATTAACCATGGGTTGTTCCTAGTAAGAACAACAATTTGGCTAAATGTCTCTTACGTTGTGAAAGAACAGAGGTAAAAGTCAGTGAACATAATGGAAATCAGATTTATTGCTGATAATAACTGTAAAAGAAAATCCAAGATTCCCAACATCCATATTTTCCCTCTTTGAACTTCTGAATGACGCCCAAAACTCAGCAATCACGCTAACTGAAAGTTCATTTTGAACCCAAGAGGTATTTGATCACGTTTGCATAATACTCCATAATAATATTGCCTGTGCAAAAACAGAAAAACAAAGCTGCTCTCTATTTCATTCAAGGTCCAACCAAGCAAGAAGTTGCCAATAAAATTGTGAAAATAGTGATATTTAGTAGTATTAAGTAACAATTAAAAAAAGTTGGTTACAAAACCATTTAATTGTATGATGACAAGTTTACATTTGGTTGGAAATTACCAGGGGTGTAATTTTCAGGGGGGTTAGGGGGGTTTTGACCCCCCCAAATATCAGACCCAACCAATATACCCCCCCCCCAATAAAGTTATGAATTATCTTGTATAAATAGGCTGTTGATTTTCTTTACTCATTTCAGTTATTACCAGCAAAATAGAGATCTTGCCCCCCCCCAATGTTCAGCACAAAGTTACGCTGATGGAAATTACTTGTATATTCCTTATCTCATATCTGGAAACATTGGGGTTATTACAACGGAAACAGTTAATAAATTTAAACTTATAGTACATCATAACACACATACATCACAAAGTTTCCTATAAGGGAATTCATCTGAGTGGACTACGTTACACAGCATGAACTGCACAAATGGTCTCACTAAGGAGCTCTTGCTGTAATGCATGTCAGCACTTAGCACTGCTCTCAAGGTCAAACAGATGTTTGAGAATTAGTCTTAATAAAACTGACACAGCACCGTTTATGAGTAATGAACTTTTTTTTCCCTTCTACATCTGTGTGTGTGTCAGACAGCTTGGCAGGAAGCAGCAATGAGGCAGTTGATGTTGCTGATGAGAACATTCCTTTTAGGTCAAGAGGATGGGAAGAGATTTTCTAAGGAGTCACATTCTTCATCAGATATTGGAATAGAAAAGAGAATTATGTGTTTTCTTCAGACATTAAACGTATAATTCAAAGATTATTGTGTTACACACAGATAAAGTCATTTTTGTCTCAAGGAAACAACAAGACGTAATTATGAGATTTGAAGCGCAGCTGATATGACTATAAACTCACTGGGCACTTCATTAAGTACACCATTTTAACTAGTGGTGCAACGGATCAAAAATCTCACGGTTCGGATTGGATCACGGTTTTAAGTCACGGATTGGATCAATTTCCGGATCAGCAAAAATAGAAAAAAAAGACAAAAATTCGACTCGCCGTTTACTTATTTAAGTATTTTTTGCCTATTAAAAAACATTCAACTGAAGACTCATTCCACACACAAATTAAGGTGCAATATGGACATTATGGACCATGCTGGGCAGCCTCTGCATCCTCTGCACACGGCCATAAACAACCAGAGGAGTCTGTTCAGTGAGAGGTTGCTTCTCCCAAAGTCAAGGGCCAGCAGACTTAAAAACTCCTTTGTCCCACACGCCATTAAACTGTTTAACTCCTCGCTGGAGGGGAGAGGGAGGGGAAACGGGGACAAAGGAGGGGGGAACAAGTAAGCTGTAGTGCCTTTTCACTGTGCAATAGTTTTTGTTAATATCCAACGGTGTAATAAACTCACAATACTTGAAATGTGCCGTTCCCTTGTATTCTTATTCCTATTTATTCTATTTATCTCTTTTGTATACTCTGTATTTATATATGTGTATATATGGTATATTTCTGCTCACGCTACTGGAAACTGAATTTCCCGGAGGAACCCACCCGAGGGTTAAATAAAGTTTCATCTAATCTAATGTAATCTATAGGGCAGTGCAGGGCTTTGTATCTACCACTCCGCTGTGATATAACGAGTGGTCATGGTCACGTGGCTTTCTGTTGCCCTGGAGGTCCACCCATTTGTAGTTAGGGCAACAGAAGATGCCTGGGACAGTTCAGCCATAACTTTTAAAAACAAGCAGATGTGATGTTAGAACGCCTTTATTTTTATTTTAGTACAATAGACAGCTGCTGGGGTTTGGGGTTTGTTTAACCTGAGTAGCGAAAAGACCGTGGGGGGGTTGAAAATGATGTGCCGGGAGTCCGCTGTTCTCGCCGGCTCTAGTGATCCTCGACCTCGCTGTCTGCTATGGAGCTGGTGGGTCACAGACGTCTCCGAAAACATCGGAGCACGTTTGGAAATATATGACATCTTGATAAATCGAGCAGATATTTGAAGTTTACACAGCTACATTCTCGCTTGAAAATAACTTAAAAGTTTATTTTGTGACCCAGAAAGAGTAATATTTAAAAGTTTTCAGCCCCGCTTGTCCGCCATTGCCGCGTTTGAGTTTTGGACGAAATGCATTCTGGGATATTTAGCTGTACCAAGTCCACACAAGTCACCACCGATGCATGCTCGATAAAACAGGCGGAGCGAGAACACATCCAGGACTTTTTCGCATTCTCGGCTTGATGAGTACTTAGAATTGGAACAGTACTTGGTCTCCGACTGATGACGTATCACGAGTACGCAAGTACGCACAAGTACGCATATTGAGACAGGGCCTATACTTCTCCTGCTCATACATGCTTGGAACGACCTTGTCACACTGAAATGGACGCACAACGAGATATCATAGCGTGGCTCAAGCACGTTCATCACAGTTTAAACCCCTTGTTTTGCACAACGGAATACGGCCTCCCGTGTGCAGCTAAACACCAGTAGCTTTTGTAATAGCTTTAGCCCGGTCGGATTGGGCAGCAAAGTGCTGCTTAAATGCCGCAAACTCCTCTGCTCCGCCACTTTGACCGCTAGCGCTGGCCATAACTATCGCTTGACAGACCCACCACGCCACCTTACACATACTTTTCTTTTCTTTTTCGAATCTTCGGATCACGTGCGTACCGAACCGTGGAGTGGGATCGGTTCGGATTTCGGATCAACCGTGATCCGTTGCACTACTAATTTTAACTGCTTGTTAATGTGAATATCTGTTCAGCCAATGCTTGGCAGTAACTCACTGTATTTATGCATGTACACAGGGTTAAAATGACCCCCTGTTAACTAACTTGAAACTGGGGCTACAGTTCGCTAAGAATCACCAATGTTGAACAACTGAAGATTGGAAAAAACTTTCCCTGGTTTGTGTATCTTAATTTGTGCTGCAACATTCAGATAGTGGGGTCAGAAAAGTATAAACACACTGATTCATCCTGCCTTATAGCAACATCTGACATTATAGGCTGATGGTGATTTAGTGATATTGTCTTGGCACACTTTGGGTCCCTTAGTACCAATTTAGCATTGTTTAAATGTCACAGCATACGTGACTTTTTGTTGCTAATGCTTATGAGCAGCACTACTTCTAATAGTAGTTTCCAGGAGGCTATCATACACAGTCCTTCACAGTCAACAATTCTCAGTCTATTAGAGAACCTTCGGGAGGTTTTGGAGCAGCTGATTCATATCATGATGTGCATCTGACAAATCTGCAGCTACTGTGTGATGTTAGCACGCATTTATGCAATAGATTGCATCGTTCTACTACTGGGTTGGACAACCAGTGAAGTGGCTATGATTGTAAGTAGCTTTCTGAACAGAATACAGAAGCAAGATTTCTGATTTGAAATGTAAGGTTTTTGTTTTTTGTTGGAAAATAAGTTCTTGATTTCATAAAGAAGTCAGAATTAAAGCCACTGAGGGCCAGCACTGAACTGATTAAATTAAACTAGCTAGCTACTCTTAATTTCTGTTCACTGTCTGGATAATTAATTTTAATATTACACAAAGTTGTTTGGTAAATTAGAAAGGTTCTAAAATACAACTAGTATGGACAAATAAACAATACAATGCTTACATTGCCTTATTTAAAATATAAGCAATTTCCATTTATAGTAAAAAAAATAGTTAAGCCTAGTATAATAAAGCATATATTTCGTTTTACAAATGCACTTAAGTTTCCAACTCTTATCAAGAGGGAAAAGCTATTTGTGGACAGCTGTTTTACATATCAAGAGGAAAGCGGAAAACTACAGCTAAATATTAAACATTCTTATTAAGATAAACCACATGGAAAAATGTGAAATGTTAACATTATCTTGATCTCTTTAATGGGATTAATTTGCTATGATTTCTCAGAATCTGATTACCTAAATACATTTGACGACATAACTGTATCAAATACATGGATCAGTCAGTCTCCAAAGGGTACAGAGGCATGCTTTCCACCGATCTTGCTTGATCCGAAATGTCTTGGGAAAAAGGCCGTAGGTATCCGAGGGAAAACATGAACGCTGTGATAAAAATCTCACACGAGTTTATAATGAGAGTCCATCTTCCTGTCAACAGTCATGATGTTGCAGCAGGGTTTCATTTGGACCGTGACAATCCATCTCTCTCTCTCACACACACACACACACACACACACACACACACACACACACACACACACACACACACACACACACACACACACACACTTTATGATGAAGAACACACACACCTCCAGCATTAGACAAACACAGCTGGCTTAGATGTATGTACGTGTCACATAGTTGGAGTGTATAGAAACCAAAATGGTCCTCTAAGCCAGTCTGCCTCTTTAAGTGATGTTGGAATACTAAACTGCAAACAATGACACGTAACACTCTTTAATCTCAGCAAACATTTTCATAACAACATATATCACGAGGGAAACATTATCAAACATTTCAGCGTGACTGTGAGACATGCGTTACTGGACCTTTAACAGTTTGGGATGTATACGAGATGAGAAAATCGTTTCCATGGCATACATGTGTGTATGTTTGTATATTATGCAAGTATGGAGCGAGAGAGGTGATTAACTTAGCATAAACACTGGAAATTGAATATGTAACGGTTTTTTCCCCACAAGAAATGAGTTATAACTCCTTTAACTGGGCTTGTATGACTTAAATAAACAGTTTAGAGGTAGTAGGAGGCATATAATTAAACTTTGGACAGCCAGATTTTTTCCCCCTCAGTCTTTATACTAAGCTAGACTAGTTGCCCCCTTTCACAAGCTTCACAGGCTACTGTAAGCACAGGTGGTGGAGACCAAAAAAAGACAGCTAAGCTTATTTACCACACTGTCTTTTAAAAACTCCTACATTTATGATTTTCTTCAGCATGATTACATTGCACTGGCTGTTTTATAAAAAAAGAATACTATCTAAGCCTGAGTTGGTGACTTTAACTAAGAGTGTTTCTTTTTCAACTGACATCTGAGAGCAAAGGAAGCCAGTCAGTAAGTAACTCGACTCATTTGGAAATGATATTATCGTCCTGTTTTATGTTTTTGATTCACGTGTCTTTGGCGATATGTTGTTAGCATACAGCACTGTTTAATAAACAGATTAGACTGGAATTAGCAAACTTTGAGCTTTCCTTTATTAGTAAACTTGGAGAAGCAACAAAAAAATCCTACTGATTTTGACAAATCTACAGAATCTGTTTGTTTCCAGCTGAGTTAGTGTGAGTCTGGGTATGTACACGCGCTTGGGTAAAATGGCAGAATTTTGCTGTTCTTTTAAATGTAACTTTCCAGATCAAATACACATGCTGTCTGGCAAGTATAACAGATTCCATAAACACTTGGCACTCTGTAGGTCTCTGTAATTGACAGGTGATTTTTTTTAAAGACCCCATTCTAAGCTTGCACGTTTAACCATTAACATGTGAACGTCAAATTAATAATAGCGTGCTATTATAATTCCTAATCATCCATGAGACTGTGGGGGGGGGGGGGGGGGGACTTAATGACACCTTAAATTATAAGACCACCAAGCAAGGATTTTTCTTCCAAAATAAAAGAGACTCTCCAACACAAATACATAATGTCTCCTGAGTCGAGCTGGTGGAGGTGTTATAACCGTTCTATGACTGGATAAAAGTAGATTAGGTTGTGCTTATAGATTATGAGCAAATTTTGAAAAGAAAATGCAGCTACAGTGCTGTGAAAAAGGGTTTGCCCTCATTGTTGAATCATGAATTAAACAATTAACCACAATTTTGGAAAGCTAAGCTCAATTTCACTGGCTGCACCCAGGCCGGATTACTGGCAGAGCTGTTGAATCAAAACATCAGTGAAATAGATCCTGTCTGATGAAATGAGGCAGGCTAAGACCTCAAAAAGCATCACATCATCTAAAGAAACATCTAAAGAAGCAGCTGAGAAACAAAGTCACTGACATTTATCGGTCTGGAAATGATTGCAAAGCCATTTCCAAGGCTTTGGGACTTCAGTGAAACATTGGTGAGAGCCATTACACACAGGGAGAAAATTTCTAACAGTGTCAAACCTTCCAAGGAGTGACGGGCCTGCCAAAATTACCCGAAGACCACATTGACAAGCCATCTAGGACGTCCCAAAAAAAGCAGAACGACATCTAAAGAATCGCAGGCCTCACTTGCCTCAGTTAAGGTTCATGATTCAACAATAATAAAACAAATGGCTCTAAAAAACAAAACGACAGTTCTGGAGTGGCTTAGTCAAAGTCCAGGTTGAGATGCTTTTTGGTATAACCTTAAACAGGTCGTTCATCCTTGAAAACCTTCCAATAACGCTGGACTCATTAAAACAATTCTGCGTAAAAGAGTGGGCCAAAACGGCTATGTGAAAAGATGCATTTCCAGTTATTCCTGCTTGACTGTGGTTCTTGCTGGGTCTTTGCTATTTCCCTCTAGGCGAACACTTTTTTCACAAAGAGCCAGGTAGCTTTGGATAACCTTTTCCCTCAATGAATGACAACATCATTTAAAATTAGCATGTTCCATTTGCTTGGGTAAACTGTGTTAACTTTGACTCTTCTCTGTAAATCATATTTGCATTATGTATTTTTTGTAGAGAATTTGCTGCTAGATCTTGTGCTGTTTAAAAAAAAAAAAATCCAGTTTTAGGGTGTGCTCGCGCTAGGCTCAGTTGCTTTATTCTGGTCTCGAGCCTGATGTGTCCCCTCCTCACTGCCCTGCTAGCTTGTGCTTACGGTGCTCTTAGTGATTAAAGCCCTAGTAATCTTCACTTTACCCCAGCATCTCAGCTTTCTGACGATGATTTTGTTGATTAACTGGGGAAGCAGTGACACACTGGCTTCTCTTATATATGACGAACCACAGATAAGGCCGGCCAAAGACACAAACCAAGAATCCCAGCTGTGCACAAAAACAGCCAAACTATGACATAATTAAGAGCACTCAGACTTTCCAATACTTGCCGCCTCTGTTATCTTACCTTTGTGATCTGGGAATATCTCTCAAAAGTATAAAAATGTAGTAAATAGTTATTCTGATACATAAACAGCAAATAAACAGAGCATAATTTAGCCTCAAATTCTTGTCCAGTACACCAGTCATCTGTGGATGTAACCTGGCCAGTCAGTCAGCAAAATTTGCTCCATTAGTGATGCTGATGACTTTTCCATCTTTAGCCTGTGGCGATAACCTACAGCGTTATCTCCACAGCGTTATCATTATGGTCCCTTTAAAACCAATCGTTTATGTGCTACAAGTGACTATTTGTGACTATTAAAAAAACCAACACAGTGTGATATGACCAAGGTAATTAATAGAAATTAAACAATTGATAGGAAATAAATAAGTTATGTTTGAGGAAGCTCTGGCATTCTGTGCCCAGATAATTATCACAGATATTGATAACCCGGGAACACCTTGACCCGTGGGTTGGAGGACAGGATAGAATCAGCTCTGCTGTTAGTGGAATTAATGATAGAACAAGATATATTATTTATCACATAACTACATTAACAAATGTTTCAAATGCCTTCCACAGAGAAAAATTGGGAAAAATGTGTATTTCCTGAGTGGTTGGCGAGTGGTTGCTGTAGGTTACTGGCTGAATCCAGATAAAATCAGTCACAAAAGCTACACGTTTGTTTTCTTCTTTTGCCTTCTCTCTTTAGGGGTCACCACAACAGATCATCTGCCTCCACCTCACATTATCTAAAATATCTTCCTCTGTCACAATAAACATGAGTACATTCTATCCAGCTTTGTAAGGCTTCAGTCACACAGGGATAGAGACCGGTTAGTGTATCTCTGGCAATCACCAACCTCCAGCAACCACTTGCCTTTCCATGGCTGCTGGAGGTTGTTGTCAGTGGGTGAAATTGGTCACAAAGAGGATGTAACTTTTGATATATGTTAAATGCAAGTGAACATTCCCTGTTTCTGAGTGGCTTCACACTCTTCACAGTTTTGTTAGCACTTAGTGAGCAGTTGGCAAGTGTTTGCAGACCAGTCAGTGTCTAACTACGGGTGATTGCAGCAATCTGCTAGTTGGGAGTGAGCATGAGGGACGAGATTAGCTCAGATCAAGAGAGAGAGACAATGCTGTGATGATTTGGACATGTACAGAGCGGGGATGGTGGGTATCCCAAACAAAATATGTCATGGGAGGGGAGGAGAAAAAGAGGAAGACCACAGAGTTCATGGACGTAGTTTTAACAGAAATGTAAAGGAAAAGGAAAATGTTTATTGTGACAGAGGAGGATATTTTAAATAATGTGAGGTGGAGGCAGATCTGCTGTGGTGACCCCTAAAGAGAGAAGCCAAAAGACTGTATAGCTTTTGTGACTAATTTTATCTGGAGTCAGCCAGCAACCTACAGCAACCACTCGCTAGCCAGTTAGGAAATACACATTTTTCCCCTAGTCACAGGTTGTTGCCAGGAGCCACCAAACCATCTCTAGGTCTGTGTGACTTAAATAAATAAGCTGAGGTGAAGCTTACCACACAGCTAACAACTGTAACTGCCCGTTTTGGTTTTCACTACTTAAAGTAACAACACCTCACTAATGTTAACTGTAAGCCAAACTTGAAACTTAAATAGGCGTGTTATAAACAAATCACCCCCTGTTCAGTTGTCCCAAAGATGAAGAGTAGCAGCCAAAGAGCATGTTTCAGTAAAAGTTTGGCATCTTAACATGTAAGTGTGTAGCAGTTAGTCTCAAGCTGTCGTTTGAGAAACTAGAGTTTTGGGCAATCTGCCTGGTTAATTTAACCTCTGTTTTTTAAATTCTGTCAGAGTCTTGTGCTTTAAAACTGTTTGGTAGAAATGCTCTCTTTAATTGAATGAGGTGTGAAAGTGTTCTTGGATTAGTAAAAGTGGACGAGGACAGTTTCTGATCTGTATGGCCATTGTCCACTTTCCATTAAAATGTCAACAAATTCTTAAGTTGACATTTAATAAGTCTTTCCCAACAAACTGGCCGTTCCTGCACTGAAACCTGAGACCACCACAGGGTCAACTGCGGATTCATTCAGCTGCACCTGCATTTACACACATATACAGATGTTGCTCCTGGATATTTCTGGCTTCTATAGATGACCACAGTGAGAGCAGCATGAGAGCCAAAGGGTGACAGCATTGTGCCTGTGTGTTAGCGCACTTGACAGATCCGGTCTTTGTTATCAGCGTGTGGGTGGCTTTTGTATATATATGAATAAAAGGTCCTGAAAATCAGTTATTTTTCCATTTTGTTTCCTGCTTTTTCCGGTAAGTTTTCAGAGCTGCCCTTGTCATTAGAGAACACCCTTCACTACAAACATCTGTGATCACCTACTTATTGCAGCAGGACATGCAGTGGGTGCGCTGGGAGGTTAAATCGAGGTTGTTCCTTTGGAAAAAGCCTGCATTTTAGTTAAAAGAACTAAAGCAGCAAGCCTTGGGTTCAACTCAGCACTTTCACAGCTCAGTTATTCCTCCTACCTTCATCACACAGGTTGAGTTTGGACAAGTTGTGTCCATCATAGGCCTCTTCATAAAGTGAGACGTTCTCTCTCTCTTCATTTGTGCTCAGATACATGGCCTTGTTCTCCATCTCCTCCTGAGAGAACAGAGAAAATACATATGCTTATTTTAGGATTGTAATCTGTCTAAAACCAAAATAAATATTTGAAAGTTTAATCTAATGTTGAGTGAGTTTACACGCACATGGAAACCAAAATCTGGATCAGTCCGCTTCCTGTATATTAGCTACATTTCAGTATTTTATTTTGGTTAGCCTCAAATGCTAATATTTAAAATGATCTGCTCAGAAACCATGCTGTTATACAATGTTCAAGCAGAGACACAGCTTCTTCATCCTAAAAACAGCATGTGATGTTAACTGAAGATTAAATGTACAGTTTTCACTACTTACGTTGTGACTGCAATGGTTGCAGTTATTGAATGTACTTTTTCAGTGACTGTCAACCACTGTCTATATGCAAAATATGGGCACAGCCACCTTAGAGTCACCTTTTGGTTATTGAAGTCCCAGTGGGAAGCTTTTTCTGTTGCCACCTTTGTGTGTTGAAACCAGAGTGCATTTCTGCTAGTAGGAAACTAAAAGAGCCATGCTCATACAGGATTGATTTGTCAATCACAAGGTAGGCATGCACAAAACCAGACCATTCTTTATCATACCTTTTGACTACAAGTAAACAGCAAACTGTCTACTGAGGGCATGAATCAAAGGAGTCGACATTTTTCCCCCCATAGATTTCCACAATCTGACTTTAACTTCCATCTTTCTTTCTACACAGTCCACACTGTCAGCATCTCACAAGTACAGGTGGTCCTTAAAAAGTAAGTGTGAGCTACTGCCTTCTATTACTGCGAATGAGGTAGAGCAGCTGTGGGAGCGCTGATCAGCTTTAAACAACAATAAACACACATTTCCAAGCTAAACAGAAGGAAACGCTTATGATATGGCAGTCTTTAAGCCAGTGTTATGCAATTTGTTTCCTCAGCCAGCAGAGATGGAGAGAAGTCATGTTTCAGCCCAATTACATTAGTCTTTTTGCTTTTAGAAAGCAACATTTAGAAAAGGTATGAATGAAAACACATAAAACATTATGAAAGGTCAGTCATAGGCCATGAGAAAAGGAGTTATTCACCTTTCATACCAACTGGCAGTGAGCAGTGTGTGGAAGTGGCTTCTGCTTCTCAAGCGATTTGGTTTAACTTCTGTGCCAGTTTTCCAAAACATGGTGGAGTATTTGAATGTCAGCCCAAGTGGAAATGGTAAGTGAGTAAATATAGAGCTGGTAGCCATACTCAATTTTATAAATTATCTGATGAACAGTGTATCTAATTAACAACCACTTTCTGAAATATATTGAGTCTGCAGTGGCAGCAGAATAAGAAATTTTGCCCACAAAAATAAAAAGCAGTTTTTGCTCTGTACTTTCTGGATGTTGGATTTTTGGTTAGATGGGATACTACTGTTGAGAGATTTCCAGTTTACACATATGCTGTTTTCATATCTTTAAACATGTGACAACGCAAGTTTTAAACATGGGAATGTACTGTGTTAGATTGTATTAGACAATTAAGTTTTCACTTACATGTTAATACTGTAACCAGTAAATAATCACTGTTTAATTACGCATTTTTTCCAGACACCTAGGTAAACACAAGTACTTGGAATGAGAAGGATCCATGTTGTAATTCCAATTTAACCCTTGATTGAAAACATGACTTAATTACCAGTAACTAAGCTGGGGATTACAGCCAGTTTAGCATCATATGAACACTACCATTTCTAATTTGAGATTCCAGCAATAATTTGAAGAGTAATAACTTATGATAACATTAAAAATAAATGATTTAATTAATCATTAGCTCAAGTGTATCTTTGAGCTTGAACAACTAGAATCCGGCAGACTGCTCAATATTTCCAAATATATTGGTGGAACTAAAGAAGAAAATGCGAAGAAAAAAATTCTAACACTGTGAAATGTAAAAAATTATATTAGCAAAATTCATTACTGCATTTTGTTTGACTTTCTATTTTCTCTCAAATACCCAAGGTGAGGAATGCAGAGCATTTTAACAGATTTATTTATGGATTCCAGTAGATCCTTCTCTTGGAAGCAGTAATCCCACCTTGAGCACCAGGTTGACAGTGTCATCAAGCAGCTGAGTTACATGACCTCTTGTGTAACTCAGTTTTAATAAAAGCACACAGAGGTTTACATTTTATTTAAGTCTTAAGGACTTAAATAAAACGAGGAACTTATTAGCATGCATGTTTAGGTTCTAATAGCATGAACTCATTCACCAGACTGTTTACTTTACGTCGGGCATGTTTACTTTTCTAGCTTGGGCAGGGTTTCCCACAGTATGCATAAGGCAAACCAAATATGAATAATATAAAAGGAAACACAGGACAAATAAGACAGGGATAGAGAGGTTATGTCAGACACCTCGGAGGGATAAAATGAAATCTGCTGTAGTACGGAGTCGTGGGTTTTAAACTTCCACAAACCCTAGTGGCAGATCTGTGAGTATTTGAGAAAGTCATTAAAAAGCGTTCAGTCAAGTCTCTCATTAAAGATAGGATAGGGGGTCAGGTTGACATTTAGACTAAGACTAGGCAGAAGCCATTAGGGTTGCTAGGTGACTCCACTAAAAACTCCACACTCCCATACATGTGTTTGTGCGTGTGGGGAGAGTTATCTTCTAATTACACTGCGTCTGGTGGGATATAACACTTTTAATCGCTCAGTGCCAACAGAGGATGGTGGGAAAGCCAAGCAGTTAGTGTTTTACCTCTCCAGCTCTGCAACTACAGACCTTTGTTTTTTCTGGATTTGATCATAAAAAATTAATTAAAATAAACACCACATGAATATTAGAGAATTTTAAGCATGAAATGAATGAGATAGCTACACACATGCCCATACTACAGTTTTGTTTACTGTGTGTGTTTTAATCGCTGATTATGTGGTTGCTAGGCAACAAAATGATGCTATAATATAAACATGCACGTTGCAGTGGATACAAATTAAGATGTTAGTGTTGTGAAATTCAAAGGCTAAAATGCTTTCATAAGGTGTTCATTTATAGGTGGTTGCTAGAAAGTGTGATGACATCATATCTGATATAGATGAGAACCTTCAGTGGCCTAAAACATGCCTATTTGCCAGTTTTGATTGGTTGATTCCTGACATTCTTGTATATGCAAACCAACAAAGATTTTGTGTATTATAGTAATATAAAAGACAAATTTTCAGAGTTCTGTGGTACACATACAAGGTAATTACAGAGAAATTAGAGCAGAGAAACAGCAATCAAAGAATCCTAAATAGAGATTTATGTGAGAATTTCCTAACGTCAAAAATGGCCGTTGTCGCGGCCCTCCTGTTGTTAGCTCCAAATTGCAGTCTGTTTGATGTCTGATGTCCATGTGAGAACAGTGTGGGTACTTGTTGGCGAATTAATACAGTAGCAAAGCACATTGGTATCCTGTCTACTTCCTGTTGCACATTCTGCTGAGGCAGGGCTCAGATCTAACCCAAAAGGAGAAAATTCAAGTAGTAACCAGGTCATGCCATGTTGTTGCTCCATGAGATTGGGATCAGGGGCACATCTACTCAATACACAGACTTGATCCTCCTAACACCATCCACAATTATGAGTGAAAAGGCTTGTTTTGGGAATCATCTTACATTTAAGTAGATATATATTGGGGGAAAAGATGTTAGCTCCCACAGGATAATCATACTGCTTTTCATTTTGAACTACAAAGATCTTGTAAATCCACTTTAGACAAGCACTTTTGCATTAAAAAAAAAAAATCTAAAATCCAGCAAGTTCTTTCAACCAATACAAAAAAAAATGTCTTCGTAGTGTCATAACAGTGACCAGTACCTGCTTAAGTGATTGGTTGCAGGGCAGATTCCAAAGCACATTTGTTTTGTCATAATCACTATAGTATGTCTATATTGTATTTTGGCTCTTGGTCTATAATGCACCTGGCAACAAAATGTAAAGAGACCACTAATTACATGCCTACTGGCCACAGTTTGAATGAAAAGAAAATGAAAAGCTTTGCTGTTAATAGCAAATTGTTGGGTCTGATAAAAGTAATAGAAACAAATCTAGTTACCTTGCCATCATGACTGTCTCCGCAACAGCCAGGGGATTTATTTGGACATTTATTTTGAAACAACACATAAATTATCTTTACTGTTTAATTAATTACCTTTTTTCAAGTGTTTTGTGATTTGTATTGAATCACCATTCAAATAACATGATAAGCACCACTTAAAGCATTTACTGACTTGAACCTGTGGAATTTATATTTCTTATTTTTGCTGATTTTCCATAGATTTCAATCCAGGATTCTCTGTGTGTCTCTTATAATATCTGCTCTGGTCAACTTCACTGAAGATGAATGCACAAAGAGTGAATGGGAATTCACTCAGCACAGCAGGCGGACCACTCTCAATTCTAGTAGCATAAGAGGAAGCAATTATCTTGTCATGCACTGTCGCTCTGTGAGATTTGCCCTCAGCAGAGAATCTGATCATCTGCGAGGTCAGAGGGACACGACGCGTGTGGTCTCTCCTGACAGTCTAAGTACATCGACAGAGATGAATGAGTGCATGTGTAATTGGAATAAATATATATTTTCAAAACATTACATAACACCCAATGTCAAACTGCTTTTCAATACGCAATAAATAATCACTACAATCAAAAACAATCCCTGTGATCAAAACAAAAGCTCACAGCTCAGTTTGTTCCATAAAATCTGAGCTTGGATCCCTTGAAAGCGTCACAGTAAGGCAAACACTCCACGCCATTGTTCAGTCATCCGTGTGCAACATTAACCCATTTTTCTCGGTTAATTAGCAGAGATACTTCATCCATGACCGCGGAAACACAAAGCAACAATTTTCTGAGGATGAGTTCCATTAAGTGTGGGTTTCCTGTCCTTGTGTAGCGCTGAGCTCCAATAAATTGTATGCAGCAATTCAGCCTAGTAGTCTAATAGCAATAAAAGTGGAACACATGTCAATAAATCAGCAACTCTACAAAGGTCGAAACAGCCCAGTTGGTGGTTTTACAGATGAGGGACAAACGTCATTAACCTATGAACGCACTAATTAACTTACCAAGCCTTGGTAAATCTGTTACTCTTACGCAGATTTCCCGAGAGCCTACTTATGTGATTTATACTAGGGATCCTCTGTGTGTACACATTGCATGATACCCTTTTTCAAATGAATGACAGACCAGACAGATGCATATTTAAGTCAAAATTCGTTACATATTTTCTCAGATAATGCTAAGCCTGTGCGACATCCTGAAGGAGAGAAGCAGCACGAGTCCTCCTGTCTCACCTTTTCAGCTGTCAACGGGAAATAAAATTCACTGCTCCGCGTTTTTCATAATTGCCCTCAAAATTCTGCTCCCGCTTCCTTTTTTCAGTGGCTCAGCTCTCAAAAAAATAATGAAAACTACAAAACAAAAAGTAATCGGTAAAGTTTCTAATAGTACAGGGACATGCACAGCCTCTGTCAGTGCTGCGGAGACAGGCAGCAGCTCTGTAGTGGAGCGCAAACTGTGACATTTTGGGGTAATATACCCATAACAACGTCATGTGACCATCACTAAACTCCAGCTGAAGTTGCCGAGCAGCTGGGACAGAGGCTGCGAGGTGAAGATGATGACACTCACCTGTTGTACACGAGCGCCCTCTGTGGGATGGAGGTAATAAAACAAAGTGAGTTTGTGTCCCATCTTCTTCCACTTTTGGTTGCTTCCTTTAGGGGTCGCCACAGCAAATCACCTGCTTTCATCTCCTCTGTCTTCCATCTCCTGCATCCTCATCTGGCACACCAGCCTTCTGTATGTCCCCCTTCACTACATCATCGTTCATATCTGCAGTCTACCTCTTTTTTTCCTGACTAGCAGCTCCATATTCAGCATCTTTTGTATGCGGAATATGGAGCTGCTATTCACAATACCTCCTCTGTACATGTCCAAACCATTGCTGTCATGCCCCTATAACTTTGTAAACAACTCAAGCCACTCATGTTGAGTGGTTTGGAGACAGAAGTTAGCACCATGGATGAGTTGCCTCGTTTCAACACTAAATACATAAAACATTTTATGTCTGAATGAACAAATGCAGTGATAATAAAAGTGTTTGCTCACTTGATTTCACATTTTTTGTATGTTTGTCACACTTAAATGTTTCAGATCAACAAAACAATTTAAATATTAGAGAAATATAACACAAGTAAACATAAAATGCAGTTTCTAAAAGTAGTAGTAGGGGAAAAAATCCAAACCTACATGGCCCTGTGTGGAAAAGTGACCCCCCACCCCAACACCCATAATTTTAGCATAAATTAACTGGCGTATCCCATATTTGGAAATCTGAATTCAATTTCTCTAGCAACACCCAGGCCTGATTACTGGCACACCTGCTCTCAATCATAAATCTTAAACTTAAATAGAACCTGCAAGTCAGACATCATGCTGCAATCCAAGGAAATTTAGGAAGAAATGAGAACCAAAGTAAGTGACATCTCTGAGTCTGGAAAAGGTTATAAAGCTATTTCTAAAGTTGCAGGACTCCAGCGAACCACAGCGAGAATCATTATTCACAAATGGCAAAAACATGGAACAGTGGTGAACCTTCCCAGGATTGGCTGGCTGACCAAAATTAACCAAAGAAGTCACAAAGACCTCCGAATAACATCCAAAGAACTGCAGGCCTCACTTGCCTCAGTTAAGGTTATTGTTCATGACTCCACCATAAGAAAGAGACTGGGAAAAAATGGCCTGCGTGGCAGAGTTGCAATACAAAAACCATTGCTGAGTATAAGGAACTGAAATGTAAATCTTAGGTTTGCTGAAAAAAATCTTGATGTTCCTTAAGATTTTGGGAAAAAACTGACTGACGAGACAAAGTTGAGCTTTTTGGAAGGCGTGTGTGTCATTACATCTGGCATAAGGGTAACAGCAGTCTGCTGTCTACCAAAACATCCTGAAGGAGAATGTCCAGCCATCTGCTTGTGACCTCAAGCTGAAGCGTACTTGGCCTCTGATCCAAATGATCCAAAATACACCAGAAATACACCTCTCAATGACTTAAGAAAAGCAAAATGAAGACTTTCAAGTCTAGTAAAACTCCTGACCTGAATCAGATTGAGATGCTGTGGCATGACCTTAAAAAGCTGGTTCATGCTCAAAAACCCTTGAATATGGCTGCATGAGTGGGCCAAAATTCTTCCACAGCACTGTAAAACACTCATTGCCAGTCATCACAAATGCCTGACTGCAGTTGTTACTGCTAAAGGTGGTCCAACCAGTTACTAAGTTTAGGGGGCACTCACTTTTTTTAGAAACTGCATTGTGTTTACCTGTATTCTCTTTGCTTTCAGTACTGAAACTGAGTTTGTGAACTGGTGCCAGAAGTACCATCTCCAGATCAGTGCTGGGAAAAGTTGGTGGACGACTGCTGCAGGTACAAACCTTCTCCTTTACCAGAGAACATCCAGTGAAGAGACACTGAGATGAATTCTGAGAAGTGCCTGGGGGTTCTTTTAATAATAAGCTGAACTGGTCATATAATGGAAGAGAACTTTAAGAAAGGACAGAGAAAACTGCATTTGCTCAAGAGACTCCTTGTTTTAAATGCCGATAAGACTGAACTATATCCTAAAATCAGTCAGGGACTGGCTTCTTTTTCTTCAACTGCTACATCAAGCATTCAAAATCAGAGTAATATTGGATTCGTCTCTGGGGTTTGACTCACATGCATCAAACATTTTGCGACACAGGGTTTCCTTAGCTGAACTTAAGAATATTATTCATACATTACATTGTTACATTGTTAGGTCTTTCTCAGTTTTTAACACATGAACAACAGTGTTATACACACAATTACCGTTTGAGTTTGTGTCTTAAAGTGTTATAGATATTAAAAAGTGACTGCATGTATACTAACATGATATAGACAAAACAAAAAACTGTGTAATTTTAGCTGCAAACAAGCTTTTTTAAAGTTTCTCCAGTTTGGTATTTTATTTTCTGCCTCACTTCCATCTATGTCGGTCAATTTTGGAATCCAAACCAAATTCAGTTTCTGTTTTAGAGTTAGAGGGTCTGCGAGTGCTGAATTAGTTTAAATAGTTTTGTAAAGACATGCATAGTTTGCTGAGAAATGTTAATATTGAACAATTCTCCAATAAACACAATTTGTATCCCTTGCTAACACTCGGAGGGCTAAAACAATGTATTTTCTTTCCCTCTTGTTTTCTAATATATGTGAAGTATATAATCATAGATTATAGGATTTTCCATTGTCCATAATATTGCTTTTCTTTTACATAAGTTACATTTCTGTGTAGCTAAATTGTTTTTGCAATATTAATTAAACTTTTAAAATGAATTAAATCCTGTATTGATGAACTGCATCAGAGTCAGCTAGTTGGTGTGGATGCTGGACATAAAAAGCATTCAGCTCCAATGCCAGAGACACACATTCTGGCTTTCAATCTGTGTATGTTTCAGTCTATGTATGTTCTGTTCACTGAGAAATGACTGAGATTTTTCTTATTTTTGGCGTGAGGATGTTGGAAGACTAATAGCACCTGCACCTCTCAAGGCCATACTGGTGGAGGGCACGAAAGCCTGCAGGAATCTCTGGCAGCCTGTGAGAGTCAAAACTTTGATAAGTCATAGGTAATAAGTAAATATTCAGTAACAGCACATATATGTTGTTGTTCACAAATTACAGACCCATTTCTCTACTCCCACAATTATTCAAAAATACTTAATAGACGGTGTACATTTATAACTAAACAAAATATTACCAGGATTTTTCGGATTTAGATCAAACAGATCAACATCCATGGCATTAACTGAATTATTTAAAGAAGTTACAAATTGTGTCAATGAAACAAAGTAAGCGGCAGGAGTTTTTAACTTGAAAACAACCTCTGACACATTTGATGACAAGATGTTAAATGATACAATGGAAAGACCTCGTATTAGAGGGGTGGCGCTAGACTGGGTGAAAAGCATTTAGAGAGCAGGGACTCTTCAACATTCAGACTCTTCATCTTATATGCAAATGATACATGCAGAGCAGCAGATATGTCGAAGTTCATTTTTATTTGCGGATGATACATATATTCTTTGTCATGGAGAGAATTTGCAACAGCTTTTGCAGGTCACGACACAAGAAATGACAAAACTAAAAAGATGGTCTGAAAAAAACAAATGATCACTTTTTAAGAAAAACTCAAATTATGATATATGGAAACCTCAGAAAAATATGTACACTCAAAAAAACCATCAAAGTCCTGAAGAAAACAAAGCTTCTGCTCAATCATAAATCACTTCATACACTTTATTGTTCTCTCATATTGCTATATTTAAATTGCTGTGTAGAGGTGTGGGGTAACACATGCAAAGGTGCACTGCAATAGTTATGTACACTTCAAGAATGAGCAATAAGACTAGCTTCTTCCCAGGAGAAATAAAGACGTGAATATCTGGCTTATACATGAATAAGATATGTGTAATTAATGGAGATGCTATAAGGATTTAAAAGACAAATTTTAAAGGATTTGAAATCATGGGAGACTACGGAAAAAGGATTAAACTAGCACAATGTGCTCACTTGTCACTTGGTCTGCTGGCTGCACAGTCTGGAGCTGATTTATAGATTTTAAGCTGAGTCAGGTGAAACCGCTGCTGAAATAGTGAAAGGAAAAAGCATGTAAGTACAAAATACTCTTCAATAGAAAATACTTTCCAAACAGTTGATATTAAATGCATTTCTAAAATGTGTCTAAGACAGGAAAGAAGGAGACAGTCTTAAAATGCCACTCTTTTCCTCCTCCTCAAGTCTTATTCTCCTAGATTGAATTCAAACTCTAAAACACGAAAACATGTATAAACATGCTTATTTATCCCAATATTATCTCAATAATTAACACGTGTTTAGAGCACTTGGAGCTGATCAGCATCTTTAAATGGAGCAGCAGAGAGAGAAAACAAAATCCCCATTCCATACTAAATGCAATGTTTTGAGCAAAAATAAAGAGCTTTAATGAAACCCACTGACTGGATTGGCACCCATTTGTGTCAGTAACATAGTTCTGCAACTGATCTGCTCAAATAACTGGATGTCAGCCTTGTAGACGTGATCGTGATTCAGGAAATGCAACCATGTTAAATGACCTGAGACAGCTGATTGTTATTGTGTAAACAAAATCTGTCAAAGGGGGTCAAACTGAACTCTTGACACAAACACATCAGATAACAAAGAGACAAGAATGGAAGGGCAGAATAGGAAATACAAAAGGGGATTAAATATAACAAAGTGGAAGCAACTGAAAATGACAGCAACTCAACAGTGAAATTGTAGGCTATGTAAAATCACAGAGTGGGTTCAGCAGATGCTTAGTGCACAGAGGTCATTAACTTTCTGCAGTCAATTGCTATAGCCCCTTAAACTTCATGTAACCATCAAATTAGCTCAAAAACAATACGTAGAGAGCTTCATGGAATGGG